CTGACTTGTTAATTTTAGCCATTCTGACTGGTGTGAGTATCTCATTGAGGTTTTGATTTGTATTTCCCTGATGCCAAGTGATGTTGAGCACTTTTTCATGTGTCTGTTGGCCATTTGGATGTCTTCTTTGCAGAAATGTCTGTTCATGACTTCTGCCCATTTCTTGATTGGATTCTTTGTTCTTTGGGTGTTGAGTTTGATAAGTTCTTTATAGATTTTGGATACTAGCCCTTTATCTGATATGTCATTTGCAAATATCTTCTCCCATTCTGTTGGTTGTCTTTTGGTTTTGTTGACTGTTTCCTTTGCTGTGCAAAAGCTTTTTATCTTGATGAAGTCCCAATAGTTCATTTTTGCTCTTGCTTCCCCTGCCTTTGGCGATGTTTCTAGGAAAAAGTTGCTGTGGCTGAGGTTGAAAAGGTTGCTGCCTGTGTTCTCTTCAATGATTTTGATGGATTCCTGTCTCACATTGAGGTCTTTCATCCATTTTGAGTCTATTTTTGTGTGTGGTGTAAGGAAATGGTCCAGTTTCATTCTTCTGCATGTGGCTGTCCAATTTTCCCAACACCATTTGTTGAAGAGACTGTCTTTTTTCCATTGGACATTCTTTCCTGCTCTGTCAAATATAGTTGACCATAGAGTTGAGGGTCCATTTCTGGACTCTCTATTCTGTTCCATTGATCTATGTGTCTGTTTTTGTGCCAGTACCATACTGTCTACAAGAGTATTTTGATCAAATTCATTACATGTATCTAGTGAAAAGCATCTTGGGGAAACTCACAAACTTATAATTCCTTATCCTCCTAGTAACTTGCTATATATGCTTTCAGCTTTCAGCAGTAACATGACTTAAGTGACCTGTCCTCATGATGGTTAATTATGGGTATACAATAATTATGTGTGTAAATCAAATAATATGTGACTAAGAATAGACAAATGTGAATCTATATACCAGTGAAAACCTCCACAGTAGCTAGTTTTGCTCAGCTGAGTGATGAACTAGCTGACTAGCATCAGCATGCTCATGTGAATTCACTGACTGCCTTATAATCTCTTTTAATACCACTTAAGCTTCCATTTTGTGATGAAGAAACTTTAAATAATTATTTTACTGATTGATCTTTTAAAATGTCAATGGAAACGAAACACATTACTCTTTTTAATAAAATTAACTCACTGGAACCCATTTTTGAGCCCTTGGGCTTCTGCAAAGCACCATTATAAAAACATTGATATTCCTCATTGTAATAGAGACCTGACATCAAATTAGTATATGTGCTTCAGAGCTATAACATTGGGAATCATTTTTTTGAAAAAGAAAATCCATCCATAATTAGATTCACTTTTAATGTAATAGTATCTGTTTGCTATGAATTTGACATTGATTTAAAAATATATTAGCTTACTCAATGAGCATGATCAGTATTGGTGAAACTTTCCAATCACATGGATCTCTTTATTATTTTTTACTTTTAACCCTACCACTTACAAGCATGTCTGCATCACACCAATCCTCTCTTCCTTTTCTGCCTCATTAGAATGTGTGCCTTATTTCCTGTCTGAAGCAGTCTTTTTCAACTGAGCCTCCAAGTTCTCATTCCTTCTGCTTCCTCTGGGGCCACATATGATCTCTCTCTACTGTATCATCAACCTCACCCTTTCCAGTAACTATTGTAAATGTGAAAGTATGCTCACACCTCTTCTATCTTATGGAAAAGTTCCCACTCAATCCTAAGCCACCTGTACCTATTATCCTTTTTTGAAGCAGTTGTTTAAACTGCTGTTATCATTTCTGATTAACTCTTTAACTCCTAAGCTTTATGTTCCCACTACTTCCTTGAAACTACTTTTATGATGGTTCTCTATCACCAAATCTATAGGCCACTTGATCTATAGTAAAGAGCTTGGACTTTTCTCTGAGGTTGGCGGTGAACAGAGGAGTGACATGATGCAACTTGTGCTTTATCACTCTGAAAGGTGCAAGTGTTGTCAGGAAGATCAATTAGAATGCTATGAAAATATTATTTATGAATTATAATGGTGGCTTGAACTACTATGGTAGCAATGTAGATGGTAAAAAATGATCAGATTCTGGGGACGTTTTAAAGGCAGAATTGACAGGATTTGCAGATGGAATGGGGGTTGAATGTGAGAGAAGGACGGGAGTCAAGGGTGATCCCAAGGTTTTGACCTGAACAAATGAGAGAATACAGGTGAATGCTATTCTTTCATGTTGGGCCATCACACGGAAAAAAAAACTCACACCATCCTGCTACCCCACTGCTGATGGTAAGGACTTTGGATTTTACTCTGAATGATATGAGAAGCATGGAGATTTTAGAGCAGAGGAGTGACATAATCTGATTTACATTTTAGAAAATCACTCTGCTGATAGAGAAGAGATTATATGTTAACAAGGATGGAAGAAAGGGGATTAGTGAGATAGTTTTATAATAATGTAGGTAAGAGGTGATGGTGGATGGAACCAAGGTGGGAACAGTGAAAGTGGTAAGACATGGTCAGATTCTGACTATAAACTGAGAGAGGAATTGGCATGATTTGTTGATATGAGGGATAAGTGAAGAGGAGTCAGGGATTACTCTAAGGTTTTGGTCCAAGCAACTAGAAGAATGCAGTTACCATTTACTGAGATGAGGGAGACTATGAGGTAAACAGATTTGGGGATTGAATGGGAAATTAAGAGTTTAATTTTGGAACACGATAAATGTGCAATACTTATTAAAAATCCAGGAGAATATTACCTGGAAATTGTATTTATGAGGCTGGTGTTTAGAGAACAGATTAAGTTTGAGTATAGACCAGGGGATCATCAGCATAGACGTGGTATTTAAGTCTATGAGACTGGATGAGATTGCCAAGGGAGTGGATATAGATGGTGAAGATGCCTGAAAGGTAAGTCCTGGACCTGTGTACACTTGGATGGCAGAGATACAAGTAGGAAACAACAAAGAGGACTGAGAAGGAGCAGCCAATGAAGTAGATAAGGAACTAAGAATGATGTTCCAGAAAATAAATATTTCAGGAAGGAAATCATGATCCTCATGGTCAAATGCTATTGTTAAGTCAGGCAACATGAAGTGTGAGAATTAATCCCTGGATTTGACCACACGTGTGTTGTGGGTGGGGTTTTGACAAGAGCCATGCGGTGAAGGAAGCTGATTGGAGTGAGTCCAAAAGTGGAAGGGAAGATGTTGCATGCTGACAACTCATGATGACTATTGTATTAAAGGGGAGCAGAGAAATAGGACAGTAGCTGAAGGCAGAAGTGGAGTTGAGAGATGGGTTTAAAATAAGATAAACAACAGTATGTTTGTGTGCAGGTAGAAACATTCTTTATGTAGGAAAGAGATGAAACATTGGAGGGAGCAAAATCTTTGAGAAAGCAGAGCGGATGGGTCCTAGAGCACAAGTATGGGGGTTAACTTCAGCTAGGACCATGGATAGTTCATATATTGTGATGGAAGATGACAGCTCATATAGGTGGAGCTCCTGGTAGATTGGTAGGTGGGGGCATATGGAAGTTCTTTTTTGATTGTTTCTAATTTCTATAGGAAATAAGAAGCAATGCCATCAGCCAAGAATGAGAGTAGTAGTTGGAGATTTAAGGTGGGAGGAGATGGTGTGAAAATCTGGTCCAGGACAGAAAGAGATTGAATGAACTAGAGATATGTAATAGGATGGGAGGCCACCACCATGGACCTCAGGGAAGTTAGTGGCTATCCATTGAAAGTGACACTAGTGAGCTTGGTTGTGTGTTTTCTCCAGCAGGGCTCAGGTTCAGGGAGGAAAAGATGGACCACCAGCTCTCTTTCTTTTCTCATTTTTTCTTACAGCAAACAAAACTCTTGAAGCTCTTAGGAATTTATTTCGAACTCCCAGGTGAATTCCAGATGAAAGCTGGGGCTTAAAGAGAAACAGCCCTTTCTTTGAAATGTCTGTTCTTCCTGCCAGTCAGCATTCATCTGCCAGGCCAGCCTTCACTGGTATTTTAAGCATCCAAATGTGTTCCAAGCCAGACTGGCAGCCCTTCTGTGCAGTCCATGCCATTTCCCTTTACCCTAGAGGGGACTAAGGGACCCCTTGGAATCCTTAGTCAGCACAGCTGGTGTGAATCATGATGGAATCAATTTGCCCAGGGACACTAATAGATTGGATTCAGAAATAGACAAATTTGGAGTTTTTGTTAAAGGGAAGAGGGGTGTCAGGGAAGGAGGCAGCTGGGGGAAGAGTAAAGTTTGTATATGATTTAAATAAAATAGCCTTCAGAGAAAATGTACGCCCCCCCCAAAAAAAAAACTGCACAAAGTAAATGAGAGAGGAGGTTAACCTGTAACCTAGATATGTAGATATGTATTGATGTCCTCATCTCTGTAGGCTGGGAATAATTGTTTCATAAAGGAGTTTGACATTCATATCCATAAAGTACTCAGAACAGTATCGGGCTGATAGGAAAGCTCAATACATGTTAGAAAACATAATAATAATGTTGATAAATTATTATTTTATCATTATGCCTTGCCTAGGACTGAACTGCTTCTTGTTTCTGTGTCTTTTTGCAGACCACGAAGAAAATATTATTTAAACAAATAACAAAAATTAATAGATTAATTAATCTGGTCATATACAAAGATGATATCCACATCTATAAAACACAACACAAATGTGATGTGAGGGTATGTTGGGTAGTGGGAAAACATGGGGCTGCCAGCCAGAGATTCCTTAGCCACCTAAGTACCTAGCCAAACTACTTAACTTTAAGAATCTCACTTTTCTGATGTGTGAACTAAAGAAAAGAATACCTACTCTTGAGATTGTTATCAGGGTTCAATAAATCAACGTATATAATGTAATGTGAATAGTGTTAGGTACATAGTATATATCCAACAATGGTAGTTGTGATCACTAATAATTTTGGTGGATTCCCTACATGGGAAAATCCTCCCTCTTCTTTTCCATGTGCAGAAATCTTTACCTTTTAGGACCAACTTGATGCCAGCCTCTGCAAGAATCCTCTCCAGATTCTCCAGGTCAGATTTAAATCTATTTTTCTTCTGGGATCCCATTACACTTTGCATCATGTGCCCTCCCCCAATTCATCTTGGAAGTCTTTTTTCTCCCATGTCTGTCTCTTGAGATAGATTTAAGGGTTTTTTTAAAAAATCCATCTCTAAATTATCTTACCATTTAGCAGAAAGGCCAGGATGTAATAGGCATCTAACAAATGTTTATAGAATTAATTGAGAGTTCACTTTAATCTTCAAAGCCAGGAAACTGATCTGTGTTCTCTCTTTCCCCAAATTTCCCCTATGAGAATTTTGAGAACAATAAGTAGTGGCTAATTGTGTGGTCTCTGAAGAAGTGATTCCTCTGGAATCCCATTTCAACAATTACACAGCATATTGCCTGGCATGTCATATGTAGCTAATATTATGCTTTCTGTTATGATTATTGTTGTTCCAGCTACCATCATCATCACTAATGCACAATTATATCTTTCCCGTAATCTCAGTAGGGAAAGAGGACACATGCATAATGCAACTGGAGCATAGTACCAGAATGATATTTACTAGCCCTCACTTGATCTTGGAGCACAAGGATGGCACAGCTGGCTCCAGCCAAGAAAAGATCACTCTCCAAGCACGACAGAAAGGAAGCGTTTGTAAGTAGCTCCAGTTGCTTCCTGCACCAGCTGATCAAAGTAATTAGAGCAGATAAAGGCAGGCAAAATATGGATCCCTCTTCCGTGCCAGGGATAAGGTAGCATGTTATGAAGATGTACAGCTAAAACTCTACAGATAGGTGTTAGTCACCAGATCTCCAGGGACTGAGAGAGTCTCAGATTTGATGAGGAAAAGTGACTTTAAAGGTGGGGTCAGAGGAGGACCTCATAGTCACTAAGCTGCCACTGGGCTCTTCTCTGCCACAATTGGGCTCAAGTTATCAAACATCTAAGAGTAGAGGAACTGTAGCTTTAACACACACAGTAGTGCGGTGTAATGGAAAGACAAGGAGATTCAGTCCTGAATTTATCACTTACTAGCTCTATGGCTTTTGCAAGTTACTTAATCTCAGGGAATTTTTGTTTCCCAAGGATGGTTGGGGATTAGAGATGATATAACATACCTATGCTCACTAACTGGCAATTTCATTGTTAAGGACTCTAATACCAGCAATCTCATCTTTTTTCAATTTTAGAAGAATAATCAAAACGGACTAACCATAAACAACATCAGTTTCAGTTGAAATGTTCTGACTGCTTCTGGTTTTGGCCATGGGCCTCCTAAGACTCTTCTTGCCCTGGATCAAAACCTAAGAGATAGTAAATTGGCTTTTTTTTTTCTATTCTGGATCCACTTCTGTACCCCAAATCTCAGCCTAGAAAACTCTTGAAATTGTTCTTAGGGTAACTGAGCTGGGGCATGAGAAAAATCAATGCCCACTCATTCCCACTGTAGAGAAAATTGCTCAAGAGTACAGAGCCCACTGATGGGAGATTAGTGATGTCATCTTCCTACACAAAGGACATTATTAATCTCACAGTGATTCACACTGTGTGATTCCCGGCCCTTCCTGGAGGGGAGGGGTGGGATTTGATCGACAAGGATGCAGAGGGAGGAGGAGAAGGACAGAGATTTAGGTGGGATATTTTAAATGGGGAAGTATCAGCCTCTTTAGCTCTGAGAGATGAGAAACATGGGAGTCACTGGTGGGCAAAACTAAAGGTAGGAGAAACAGGTAAACTGGGAAGGGAGCCAGAAAAGGAGAAGGAAAGAGATGGATGGAGGAGGGAAGCAGAAAAGAGAAAGGAAAAAGGGGCTTTGGGATGGGAAAGGAGCATCATTATTTAGGACTGAAACTCAAGCTGCGGTATGACCAATAAAGATTAAATTAGTAAAATATACCCAGGAGTCAGAGAGGTCCCAGAAGGAACATGTTTAGGAACATCTAAATCAGGGGTTTTTGAGACTTAGATGAAATCCATGGATGAAAACAAAGCATGTACCTTTTAACTGTGCACAGTCTCAGGAGTTCATGGATTCCCTAAAGCCTGTCCATGGACTCCCCTCTTAGCATATTCTGCTTTCTGTATTCACGTACATTATTTTGAGACAGTGACAGGTCTGGAGCTTTCTCAGACAGATCTGAAAGTCAAAGAGTTTATTGATATTATCTTTTTGGTGTCTTTTCAATTGCACAAATATCACTTTTTCAAATCTAGCTATGATCATATTTATTTAGTCAGTATATATATATTTTTTTAATTTCAGGAAGTGTTGGTAGATTTTTTTAAAAAATAACTATTAATAAATGGTTCAAAAGTTTTGGGCCAAACAAAAGAGGATCATGACCTCAAATGAAATTTATCATTTGGGAGTATAGCGTAAGCCCTGACAGTTTTATTTCTTTTCTGTAATGCAAGTGTCTGACTTAAGCTTTGATTTCTGAGATATCCATTTCAAAGAAGCATCTACTTCGTAGATGCTATCTTGAATAAACACATTATCAGACACACAACTAGATAAAGAGCCAGGCCACCTTCCCAGCACTGAGGGTCCTTTGTTTTAAAGGTCCTGGTGTATTTCCCTAACTGACCATTTGGGCCACTTATTTTTTCTCTTCCATACTTTAAATTCACCAATAAAGAGTGAACCTACAAAGCCCTAGGTCCCCAACCTTGACCCCAGTAAAAGCAGAACTCCTGGCCCCTGTGTGCTCTTTTTCCTGTTCTCTCTACCGGCAACCTTGCTGTGTGGCCCCAGATGTGCGATGTAATTTCCAGGTCTTGTAAGTAATAAACGTTTATTTTTTCAGTTTCCTGATGCCTGTTGCTGAAGGCTACCTTGCAATCATAATAAGAAGCACAAGGGTGAGTCCAACCACAACATTGGCTCTTGATAGGTTGAGACCCGCACAAAACAGGGTGCTTGTCTCTTTTAGCCTGGAAGAAAGTGGTCTGTTGGGGTTTCTTGCAGTGACTGGGTTTGTTTTAAGTATCCACAGGGAATTAAGGAAAATAAAAGGTAGTTGAATGGGGAAAGAAGTATCAGAATGCCAGACCACACAGACTGTTGCTCAGGAACTGGGCGGTGTAGGGTTTGGTGTAGCTTGAATCCTCCAGTGTTCTCCTCCCTGTTCAGCATAGGCTGACTTCTACTCTAGTGTTTCTCTGTGGTGGCCGCTGTGCCCCTCTTCGCTTGTTCTCCCTGTTCCCGCCTTCTTGTTCTTCAGTAGATTCTGCCTGCTCAGTCTTTTGCCTTGCTGTTTCCTCCAGCCATGTTTTTTGTTTTCTTCTTCCCATTTTTAAGTGCTGACCTCTTCGTGCGCCAGACTGCCCAAGAGAGTCACTAGTGGGTCCACGATCACCATCATCTCTGACAAACTCTTTTGTGGTCATTCTACAGTGGCTGCCAGGAGGCATTTGTGCACCCAGCTCCAGTCTCTGTGCCCAGATGTCACTATCATGTAGTCAGCAACTTAAAGCAGAATGGTTTCTTGTCCAGCACTGTATCTATTGGGCTTTGTGTGTTTACAAGGCTATAGTTTCACATCCAACACATCATCCAACCCTTCCAATAACCTTTCCCTGTAGAGGGAAGAACTCCTGGGCTCCCCACCTAGCAAACGGTAGAGCACATTCAAGTCCAGCTCTTCTGACCCCAAAGTCTATCCAGACACCATTCTGGGGATTAGAAGCTGGAGACAAGGCAGGGGGATTTTGAGAAGAGCTGACGAGGAAAGGACATGACTATTTTAGGGGATGAAAATGGTAGTGGGAGGGTCAATGGCAAAGACTGAAAGCGAATGCCCTTGCTAGATGTCAAGCTTAAACACCGATACCAGATCTTGAATATTTCCTCAAGGTACCAAAAGATGGCCAGAGATGGGTTTCTGTCTTTTCCCACCGCTTCCCTAAACCACCCTATGTGGCCATGACATGAAGAGCAGAGTGGGGAGGAAGGCCTCTTCTGGGAAGCCCCAAATTTCCTCTCCAGCCTGACATTTCAGGGGTTAAAATGCCTTAATAGCTATTCAAGTCAACCTCCTTGAAATGTAATGTTCTTGAGAGAAGTCAGAACATCAAATCCCTAACATCTTATGTGAAATCATTTATCAAATTACTTCCCTTTTTAATTAGAGAAAATACAACAGCCATAAAGAGGAGTAAAAAGACCCTGAAAGATAAACAGGTAAAAACAACATTTGCTCCAAGCCTCATAATGCTGCTTGGGGCCAGCCGTGGGAGCAGGTCCAACAAGTCCTCCAGGTACAAGCCACAGGTGCCAGGGCATGGGCTCTTTCACCAGTACGCTGCCAATCCTAGAGATGGATCAGTGACATCAGAGGAAGAGAGTAAAGGCCTCAGCAACATCATGTATGGAAGCACCTGGGGTGGGGGTGGGGTCCACTGTGCTGGGAAGCCTGCCTTCTGTCTAGTGTCCTTTAGAAATGTGGCTGGGCAAGCTGACAGTCACTCTCGCACCACAAGTGCATGAGATATCCTGAATTCTTCAAGGCCATTTGGAGGGCTTACAGTGCTATATGTGTCCTTCCCTAAATTCTTTCTTTTCTTCTGTAGACTCATCAGAAACTGACTCAGATATTGATAGTGGAACTTTCTACACTAACCCCCACTCTTCTCATCAAAATAGGGACTGCGTGGGACTTTTCTATGGTGCTTATTCTCATGAGTTCATTTATTAGTGGTTCTCCAATTTTAATAGGTGTAAGAGGAACTCAGGCAACTTGTTAAATTATGGATTTCCAGGTCTCATCTGTCACATTCTGAATCAGACGTTTCAGATGATATGCATTTTAATTAAGCATTTCAGGATACATTGATGCAAATGATGTTTGGATTATGCAAGAGAAACACTGTAGTTTGGCTGGGTCTCAGTTTGTTTTTATTAAGTAGAATAATGGGATTTACTTCATTAGATTGTGAATTTCTTGAGTGCAGAGACCATGTGTCCATATTCCTACCATAATTCTTAGCATAGTGTCTGGAATAAAGTAGGTTAAATTTAGTTACCCACAATCCTCAGTTCCTATTTGTTAGTATGAGCAGGGGGACTGAAGAACCAAGTTTGGCTTCTAAGTCTCTGGGCTGAAGAAGAGATTGGGGTAAACAGCATGGGGAACTTTTGGCATGTTGGCCTTGGCATGTAGTAAGAAAATGACCTTAGTTTTCAGAACATCAAATTCTGCTTGTGTTGTTATGTTTTTATGTGAACTGTAATGCTTTTTTTTTCTCCAGAAGCAATTTAGGTCTTATTTTTTTTGTGTCTCCTACTATGCCTAACTTTGAGTAAGACCTAATAATGATGGATGATCTCCTTTCATCCTAACCTTATTTGTCAATGTCCTTAGCAAGCATTCTATCTAATGAATTCTCATTCTGGTTTATTTCAGGCCTCAGCATCTTATGTACGAAGTGTGAGGTGAAAAGTTGTACATAGTCTCATCCTAGTAAACACATTAGCTAAGCTCTCTGTGTGCCCTGAGCTGAGGCAATGGTAGAAGAATATACTTGGATGCATCAGACCCCCCATGGAGACAATGATAGAAGATGGCAGGTAGAGAATCTGACCTTTGGTAGTAATGCCAATCTAGTGTCAATGGCCAAGACCTGTCTAAGTGCCTTGGAAAACCTAACTCTTTGAGACACAAACCAGAAGTCACTGATTCTTGAATTATAACCAGGAAAGAGAAATTACATACATACTTCAGAGAGCATCTTCAAAGAAGTTCCAGAGAAAAATCAAGCAATTTTAGTCAAGGATCTAAGGCAACCTTAGAGGTGTATGACATTACAGGGCCTGGAACAGGGATACAGGTGGGTAGACTATATAGACCTTTTCCTGCAGAAGAAAACAGATCAAACCAGGAAACCGTTGGTCCAAAATAAAATTTTATCTTGACAGTGTTCCATCATTTGGCATCACATAAAATGTTATTAATATAAATCCCTGAGAAGCAATTTAGCCAAATTAAAAAGTTAACATTAGAGTCCCTCATACCTCATATTGGAAAGGATTTGATGAACATCTGCTGAAGGAAGTTCTACAGATCCCTTTTAATTCCCTACCTATTAAGTGCATTTAATTCCCTACCTATTAAGTGCATTTACAAAGAAGCAGGATGCTTACTGATGGAAATGTCAGCACCACCTGACTTGCTGCACCTCAATTTTCACAATTAAAAAATTTAGACTCTGACCCACTGTAGGAGGAACTACCTGTTTCAGTGAAGTTTCTGTTGGTCTCTAGCTTATCCCATGATATAGTGCACAGAAGGTGGGGGATTCTTAAGGCCTTTTTTTTAATCTTAAAAAAGTTTTTATTTTAGTTCCAGTTAGTTAATATACAGGACTATATTAGTTTCAGTGTACAATATAGTGATTCAAAAGTTCCATACATCACCCAGTGCTCATCACAACAAGTGCATTTCTTTTTTTTTTTTCCAAGCCTTCTGATTTTTTTTATTACTCAAAAAAGCTTCATTTTTTTATTTAGCTTTCTGACTCTGTGCTTGGGCCTTCAACACTTTCACAACGATTTTCTGCTCCTCGATAAGGAAAGCACGCTTGATCCTGTCACGAACACACTTAGCACACATGGAACCACCATAGGCCCTGCTGACGTGTTTTTTCGTTTTGGACAACCTCATAAGGACTTTAGGTCTCACAGCACGAACTCCTCGAAGTCGGCCTGGGCACACGCCACATGCAGATTTTGGTGCTTTCCCAACCTTCTTGGTATAAAGGTAAACGATTCTATTACCAGGGGTTCGGGACAGCCTAGTTTTGTTAGAGGCTGTATTATAGGACAGCCTACGACGGTAGGTCAAACGCTGGACCATTCTGAATGCCTACGGACACCGTCCCCGGAAGAGGACAACAACAAGTGCATTTCTTAATCTTCATCACCTAGTTCACCCATCCGCCCCAACTACCTCCCCTCTGGTAACCATCAGTTTGTTCTCTATAATTTAGAGTCTGTTTCTTGATTTGTCTCTTTCTCTTTTTTTCCTTTTGTTTATTTGTTTTGTTTCTTAAGTTCCCCATATCAGTGAAATCATATGGTATTTGTCTTTCTCTTACTTATTTTGCTTAGCCTTATACTCTCTAGCTCCACCCATATCCTTGCAAATAGCAAGACTTCATTTGTTTTTATGGCTGAATAATATTACATTATATATGTGTGTGTGTGTGTGTGTGTATACATTATACATATATAAATTATACACTTGTTTTTATCCATTCATCAATCAGTGGACACTTGGGCTGCTTCTATATCTTGGTGATTATAAATAATGCTGCTATGAGCATAGAGGTGCGTATAAACCTTTGAATTAGTGTTTTTGTATTCTTTCTGTAAATATCCAGTAGTAGGATTGCTGGATCATAAGATAGTTCTATTTCTAACTTTTTGAGGAACCTCCATACTGTTTTTCCACAGTGGCTGCATCAGTTTGCATTCCCACCAACAGTGCAAGAGTGTTCTCCTTTCTCCATATCCTTGCCAATACCTGTTGTTTCTTGTGTTGTTAATTTTAGCTATTCTGACAGGTGTGAGGTAGTATCTCATTATAGTTTTGATTTGCATTTCCCTGATGGTAAGTGATGATGAGCATCTTTTCATGTGTTGGCCATCTGGATTTATTCTTTGGAGAAATATCTATTCATATCATCCACCCATTTTTTATTGGGTTATTTGTTTTTTTGGTGTTGAGTTGCATAAGTTCTTTATATATTTGAATATTAATTCTTTATCAAACATGTCATTTACAAATATCTTCTCCCATTCTGCAGGTTGCCTTTTAGTTATGTTGATTGTTCCCTTCTCTATGCAGAAACTTTTTATTTTC